CGAATAACAAATATGTCCTCCAATACGTCATGATACTATGTTGGGGCGGGGCGGGGGGGGTGTTATTAGGGGCTGGGGGTTGGGGGAAGGGATTTCCGCTCGGGTGTGCTCTCGTCTTGCGTGATTTTTTCCAGTTCGGCAGCATTAGCGGCAGCAAGTAGGCAGCTTCAACTTGCAGACGTGTGTATAGAGGGAATCACAACAGCCATTGTGGGGGAACGTCAGCTTCCATACGCGGATTCGGGGCACGTCTCCCAACTAGCAACTCTATAGTCCCCCTTAAGTAGATAGAATATGGCTTTGAGTATATTATCATAAGATCCCCATATACCGCACATTCATTCTATCTACTTAAGGGGACTATACATCTAAGGGCAAAGAATCCGATTTTCACCATCCATGGACGGTCCTCAGGCTGCTTAAGCCGACCTTCTGCCTGCCCAGTATAGCGGTTATATAGGGAGGATGTAGGGATGATGAAAAAGAGAATGGAAACTACTTTAATGTAGGGGTAATACAGGGGCTACAGGGATAATGGACAAGAAAATGGAAACTATGAGTTTTATAGTTAGTGATCAGGAGTTCAAAAAGCATTGGGACCTCAGGGTCTGCAATTCCAAGGCCCAGCGGCAACAGATTCAAGAAATTCATGTGACGGAGACACTTCCCAGATCCCCATACCCTACCTCTCTTTTACAGGCTACCTAACTTTATGTCTAGTATCTTTTATATACAAAACAGGTACCCTGAAAAAGGAGTGCGGTATTGGCTTCCTGTGGGTTTACGAGGCAAGGCATCTTGAAGCGATCCAACGCAAGGGGGACAGTAGGGATGAAGAGGTGTTCAGCTTGTGAAAATAAATTTGACCCCTTCCCTAAGCCTGCAAAAGACGTCGCTCCCAACCGTGAAACCTACCCTCCCTAGCCCCTTTCCATTCACCCCTCATTTTTGGAATAAATGAATAAACGCTAAGCTATCAGACTGCGAGGGACCCCGACTGTGGACGTTAGACTTTTTTGCGCCCCTCTGCACCTGTAGCGCCGTACACTTGGTGTAGTATTACAGCCTATACATACTACTTATCGGATAATTATTATGCAAATGTTGCTGAGTCGGGGGGGCGGGGACAGTACCCAATGTATACTCCTTTTGAACCTGAACCCTAAACCCAAGCCCTAAAC